GGGGGTGCAGGCTATTCCAGGGGCTCAGCATGAGACCTTGGGCACCAGGGTGCAGGCTATTCCCGGGGCCTCCAACATTGAAGACCTGGGCACCAGGGTGCAGGCTATTCCAGGGCCGAGCATCAGCGTGTGACCGTGCGGACTGTGCCCCTGCCCCGCACCTCTGGGCCCTGTATATTCTTTCACCGGGTGCTTGACCGAGCGGCCGCCCGCTGCCTGGCCTGGTTGGGGCGGGCGCAGGCTGGTCCGGGAGGCCCCTCGGGCTGGGTGAGCAGGAAGGAAAGGCGGGAGCGTGCGGGCGGCTTGTGCCGAGCGGCGTGACAAGGTCGTGGGAAGAGGTGGTCATTAGCCAGAGACCCAGGGAGCAGGCGGCGCCGCCGGTCGGGGAGCCCGTCCTGGTGGTGCAGGCGGCAGGACAGCGGGTCCGAGCCGGGAGGGGCCTCCCGCGGAGGAGAGGGTGGACCTGAGAGGCGATGGAGGAGCCCTCCGTTAGGCGTCGCAGGGGTTGGTGCTGCGAGTGCAGGAATGGCACGTGACGGTGACAGCGAGAGTCACGGGGCTGCTGTCGGCGCAGGATGGGACCGGGAGGGACCCTTCTGGGGCCTGAGAGATGGTCTGGTTGGAGAGGAGGCGGGAGGGGTTTGGAAGACGTTGCTGGTGAGATCTGGGCCTGAGAGACAGGCAGGGCGACCTTCCGCCCCAGTGAGTGCCTGGAAAGGTCGAGTTGCCAACCACTGAGGTGAAGCAGGGGTGGGCAGAGCAAGTTTGGGGGACCCCGGGTTCGGCGTTGTGCACGTTGGGTTTGAAATGCACCTGCTGAAACGTAGAGAGAGGGGTGTGTGAGCGTGGACTTGGGGCCCAGGGCGATCTGAAAACCTACCCCCTGAAATCCCCGCCTCAGCTGTCGGTAGCTGCTGTGAGGGAGCAGGTTCGCCCCTTATCTTCCCAGAAGAGGCCAGCAAGCCTTACCCCCCACCCCACGGGCTCTGCCCACCCATCTGACTTGAGGACTGACCCCCACCTCCCCAGCCGACGGAAAGGCCGGGCATCTGAGCACAAGGACCAGCTTTCTCGGCTGAAGGACAAAGACCCCGAGTTCTACAAGTTCCTGCAGGAGAACGACCAGAGCCTGCTGAACTTCAGCGACTCGGACGGCTCTGAGGACGGAGAGGAGCCGCTGCACTCCCTGCCCGACACGCTGGAGGCGAGGGCGCGGACGGGGCTGGGTGGGGGCAGGGGGCACGCTCCTGGCCTCGACGTCCTGCTCGAGCCGGGCCCTCTGTGTCTGGTGCAGGAAGCCAGTGAAGAGGAAGGTGAGGAGGACGAGGATGGGGCCTCCAGAGGACCGAAGGGGAAGAAGAGGGATTCCACCCCGGTGACCCTGGCCATGGTCGAGAGATGGAAGCAGGCAGCGAAAGTGAGAAACGGCCGGACCCATCCCCCCCGGTCGGAGCCGGCCCTGACTCGGTTGAGTCACCTGGGACCATGCAGATGGGAGGCCCCCTCCTCCTAGCAGCCAGCTACCTGGCATCGCTCTTCCTTAGGCGAGGAGGCGCCAGGACTGCGTTCTCTCCTTCACTCACATCCTAGGGGCTCTGCCTGCTCCTTTGCTCTCGGTTCCTCTCTTGGGCTCCTTGCTCCCTCAAGTCTCTTGTGGGCAGGATATGGTCTCTGTGCCTTTGCCAGTTGGTTAAGCCAGGCCCCTTCTTCCGAGGGTCTGGCCGTGGTTTCTGTAGGGACAGGAAGGGGCGGAAAGGGAGCACTCCAGAAGCTGTGCACCGCTGGCCATCGCCCCGATCTGGGACCCTCAGCCCCGCCCCCGTGGTCCCTGAGCCAGGCTCCCCGCCGCCCAGGAGGATGCTGGACTCTGTCTTTTTATTCCTGGCACATGGAACACTGTCCCCACCTCTTGCCTTGTGTGAGAATGAGGGCGAGGGGTGCCATCTCTCCTAGGGCAGGTCTGGGAGCCGCTGGCCGCCTCTCCCTCTGTTCAGCACAGCTGATGGCTCCCTCAACCTTCTGGGTTCTGTTCCCCTTCAGCAGCACCTGACTCCAAAGCTGTTCCACGAGGTTGTGCAGGCGTTCCGAGCGGCTGTGGCTACCACCCAAGGAGACCCCGAGGGTGCTGAGGCCGTTAAATTCCAGGTCACAGACGGTGCTGGTGAGCTGGGCCAGGGGACCTGGGGTACAGGCTCTCTGTTCCGTCTGCTGTCCTGTGAGCGGCATCTGTGGTCCCCTCGTTGCAGTGTTCAATGCTCTGGTCACCTTCTGCATCAGGGACCTCCTTGGCGGCCTCCAGAAGCTGCTGTTTGGAAAAGCCCCAAAGGACAGCGGCAGGTGAGGGCGGGGTGTGGGGTGCTCAGGGCCCTGCAGGTGGGGAAAGCAGAGGTCTGGGACCTGGCCGTTCCCTCTGGGCCCCGCTGGCACAGAGGGATGTTGGAGACAGCAGGCTCTCTCTGGGCTCTGGGGAGAGGCTCAGCTCCCAGGGCCCGTTGGAGTGGCCCTGTCCTTTTTTCTTCCTGAGAAGGGAGATTCTCTGCCCAGAATTTCTCAGGGACCACAAACTACTTCCTTTTGTTCCCCATTTCCCCAGTCAGAATTCTTTCCCCCCCTCCCTCCCTCCTTCTCTCCCTCTGTTCTTCTCTTTCCTCTTTGGATGAACAGTCTTGTTCACTCTCTCGTTGCCCTTTGCCCTGCGGTTGCTGGGTGTGTCTCCTGGGGGGCCTGGTCGATGCTGGGTTTGAGAACCTTACCTTCCACGTTAGCGTTAGAGGTAGATCGAGCAGAAGAGCTGTATTCAGAGGAGGGAGGAGGGCAGCAGATGGGTAGAACGGGTTCCTTGGGGCAGGGAGGGCCACACAGCTCTTTCGAAGGAAGAAAGAAGTGTCCAGAGAGGCCCTCTGTCATCACCTGGGCCTGGTGGTGGTGATCAGGCTGGACTGATGGGTTGGGGCGGGTTGGGCCGAGTGGAGGCGCCCTGTCTGACCCGGGCAGGGTGGAGGGGCGGCAGTGAGTGCGGGCAGCAGGTGCGGTATTGGCGGTGCCTCCTGGGAAGGAGGCCACTGCACTGCCCTCGCTGGAGGAAGTGGCGGGCACTGCCTCCTGGGCAGAGTGAGCTGCCATGGTGCCCCTGGCCTTGGCCCCTTCATGTACTTCAGCAGGTGGTTTTTAAACATCTTTTTATTGATTTTTAGATGGAGAGGGAGAGAGAAACATTGATGACAGAGACTCGTCCATCAGCTGCCTCCCACATGTCCCTACTGGGGATGGAGCCCACAACTCAGCTCTTGGTCCATGGGATGACGTTCAACCCCCTGAGCCACACCGGCTGGGCCACACCCACTGAGCCACACCGGCTGGGCCGCTTCAGGGTTTTGTTTTTTAGAGAGAGTGGAAGAGAGGGGGAGAGACAGAGAGAAACATCGATTGGTTGCTTCCCGCATGCACCCTGCACCCCGACCGGGGCAGAGGATTGAGCCTGCAGCTGAGGTACATGCCCTTGACTAGAGGAATCGAACCCAGGACGCTTAAGTCCTCAGGTCGACGCTCTATCCACTGAGTAGACTGCCAGGGCGACTTTGCTTTTTTTAAAGCTTGTTTGGGCCACAGAATACCTGGTTGCAGTGGTGGTGGTTAGCGCCTGGGTTAAACCCCAGGGCCCTCCCTGCCTGTCACAGGTGTGTGCCTCTGGGAACCTGGGGAAGTGGCAGTCTGTCCCTCAGGCATTGGTCATGGCCACTCTTGGGAGGGTCTCCCCACAGGGCCCCGTGCCCTGTGTCTTGTGCACGGACAGAACGTGTGAGCTGGGGGGTGTCTAAGGTTTGGGTCTCACTCGGTGGGGTGGGGTGGGGTGGTCTCTGCAGGGTGCTGCAGCCATCCAGTAGCCCGCTGTGGGGGAAGCTCCGGCTGGACGTCAAGGCTTACCTGAGCTCAGTCATACAGGTGTGATGTCCGCGGGGATGGGGCGGGGAGTGGCGGGCTGCTGGGTCAGCAGGGCCTGGCCATGGGCAGTGGTCTGGTCCTTCTCTGTATCTCCATGTGGTGGGTTTGGCGGCGCTGACCTCCTGCTCCCTCAGCTAGTGGCCTGCGTGGCAGAGGCGACGGTGGCAGCGGCCCTCCTGCAGCACATCAGCAGCTCCGTGCCCTACTTCTTGACCTTCCCCAAGCAGTGCCGCATGCTGCTCAAGGTGGGCATTCCCCATTGGCGTGCTCGAGTGCATGTGGCTGCCCTCAAGCATGCCCCCCACACTGGGGTCTGTCTCGGGCAACACAGCTGGGCACGTGGGAGCAGGTTCTGAGCTGGGGCTGCTTCTCAGCCATGTCCACGGATGCCTCTGGCTGGACTTGGGGAGACCGGGGCCGGCGGTGACGTCTCGCTCGTTGCAGAGGATGGTGGTCCTGTGGAGCACGGGCGAGGAGACAGTCCGAGTGTTGGCCTTCCTGGTCCTCATCAGAGTCTGCCGGCACAAGAAAGACACCTTCCTGAGCCCCGTCCTGAAGGTAGTGTGGCCAGCGGCTCCCGCCCCTGCTGCCCCATCTGTGTCCATCGGGTCAGAGTTGAGAGCCTGAGCCTGAGGGCTGGCAGGCTGCCTTCGTGGTCAGCACCTCTCACGGACTGGCTCAAGGCAGATCCAGGTCCTTGTCACCTTTCCTCCCTGAGAAGGGGTGGTGACAATGATGGCATCCCCGCCTCCTCCCCCGCTTCCGTGGACTGCAGTACGCAGCTGTCCCCTCCGTGCACAAGGACAGCGGGTGTGGAGAGGGGCAGGGACCCTGGTGCCTGGCTCCAAACCAAGGGTGGCCTGCCTCGCATGGGGACCGTCCAGATCCCCTTGCATAGGCCTGGCAGCGGGGCTCCTCCCTCTCAGGCCCTCATGGTCCCTTTGCTGGCCCCCAAACTTGTTCCTGCTGGAGTTCACCCTCCCTTGGTACTGGGCCCGCCCTCTGACTGCAGGCTCGGTGCCCCAGGTTATGGGTGCACCCCTGTGGAAGCTGAGCAGCAGCAGGGGCCCCAGGGGAGGGTCTGCAGCAGACAGCCAGGCTGTGCTTCTGAGAGGCAGTAGCTCTGAGGGTCAGACCCAGGTGTCATGGTGGGGCCTCGGGGCCTGGGAGCTCAGGCAGCTGTGACTGGTCTTCTGGCAGCAAATGTACATCACCTACGTGAGGAACTGCAAGTTCACCTCCCCCAGCACCCTGCCCCTCATCAGCTTCATGCAGCGGACGCTGACTGAGCTGCTGGCGCTGGACACCAGCGTCGCCTACCAGCACGCCTTCCTGTACATCCGCCAGCTCGCCATCCACCTGCGGAACGCCATGACCATGCGCAAGAAGGTGTGTGGCCAGGCCGGGCTGGGGCAGGGTCCTTGTTGTGGGGTTGGGAGGGGCACAGCTTGCGGGGGCCTGTATGCATGGTGCGGAGGAGGGCTGGGCCCTGGGGACCCTGTTGACTTGGGGGCTCCCTGCAGGAGACACACCAGTCCGTGTACAACTGGCAGTTCATGCACTGCCTGCAGCTGTGGTGCCGCGTCCTCAGCACCATCTGCCCCAGCGACACCCTTCAGCCCTTGATCTACCCCCTCGCCCAGGTCGTGCTCGGCTGCATCAAGTGAGTCTGAGTGTGCGGGGACCCCGAGGCCTAGAGGGCAGGGCAGGGGCAGGGGCAGTACACAGAGGCTTCCTGCAAGGGTCCTCTTGCAGGTGGCCAGGCCTCTAGGGAGGGTCTGCGGTCTGTGACTCGGCGACACCCGTGGAAGGGCTGGGCTGGAGCTGTCTGTGGCCTGTACCCTGTGTGGGAGGACCCCACGCTCGGGCAGCTGGGCTTCTGGGTGGCTTGTGCCGTGAGCGCCTCCCTAGCATCTCTGTCCGAGGATGCAGCAGTGTGCATTCTGGGAGAGGGCCGTGTGCAGTTTGAAGGGGAGTGGGTTTATGTGCACGGGGTTCTTGGACAGAGCAAGTGGGGTCTGGTGTGTGCCATCCTGGGTGTGAATATTGGGCGGGGGTCTCAGCAGAGAATGGAGGAGCTGTGCATGGCCTGGTGGCTGTTGGCCAGGAGGGGGCAGCCCTGTCCTCCTGAAGGAGAGTTGAAAGCTGGGATGAAAGGCTTGAATGAATGATCCCTACAAACACATTAAAATGAAACAAAGTTAAACCTGGTTGGGTGTCCCCTCAGCCCCATAGCTGAGCACAGAGGCAAGTCCTGAGGGCCTGTGTCCTGCCCTGTTCTGTCAGGGATCCGGTGGGGCAGGTGTGGCCAGTGACCCTGAGAGGGTGATAGGTCCTTGCTGCGGTGGGGGCTCCATGGGAAGGGTCGGGCCAGTGCCAGGAGGGTGGGGCGGGCTTGTGGGATCCCTGGGGCTGGGCCTCGTCTCACTCCCATCCTCCTGCTCCTAGGCTGGTTCCTACCGCACGCTTCTACCCGCTGCGCATGCACTGTGTGCGCATCCTGACGCTGCTCTCCGAGGGCACCGGCACCTTCATCCCCGTGCTGCCCTTCATCCTTGAGGTGAGTGGGGAGGTGAGCGAGCGGGGCCCTCACCTGCAGAGCACAGGTGCTGCCAGGGCATCCCTGGTCCTGCCCAGGCTGGTGCATGTGTTCGTTGGCAAGAGCAGCAGTGAGGACGAGGAAGCGGCCTCGTGGGGTGGGCCTGAGGTGGCTGGTTTTAGGGCACAGACCTGGGTCAATCTGGGCATTTGCCCGACATGAGCGTGAGCCGGAGATCCAGGCTGGAAACCCAGGTCTGATTCCAAGGCTGCATCTGCCCTCTGCACATCCCCGAGCGTGTGCACGAGCGTGTGCATCTGTGTGTGCGTGCTCACGTAAGCTCAGTTGGGAAAGGCTGTGGTCCAAAACCCAGAAATCCACCAAAACCCAGAAATCCACTGGTGGTCAGGCCCAACCCAGGAAATACTCAGAAGTTCACACCCATCACCCACCAGACAGCTCAGAGCTGTGCCTCAGGAAGACAAAGGTCAGGTTTGTGTTGCCCTGGAGCAGGAGGGGGAGGGAGGAGGGAGGGAACCTCAGGAACCTCCTCCCTGAGGCAGGGACAGTGCAAGCTTCAGTGCAAGCTTCATGCTCATAGCCCCCCCCCCAGCAGCCCTGGTGTCCAGGCATGAAGCTCCCACTGCTGGCCAGCTCAGGGCACCTGTCTATCCTCTGCCTACTGTCTCCCTCAACTGATCTCTTTCCGCCTTCACTTTTGCACTGACCCCATCTGGGCTCGCCATAGCTACGTCCCGCACATCCCTCATCCATGGGTGCAGGCCTCTCCAGAGAAAACTGACCACAGAGGCGGAAGCCGAGCTCTCTGCCTCCGGGGAGCCCCAGCCCTTCCCTCCCTGGGTGGAAAAGGGTTAAGAGCAGCCTGTGTGGGAGATCAGACCACCTCCTTCCCCCAGGCTGAGCCAGGCTGGGGCAAGCACCCTGCCCTCCCGGGGACCACTTTGTTGTCCACACATCACGGCTGCTTCTCATCTGGAGCTGACCTGAGCTCGGCTCTGTGGAGTCTCTTATTGGGGGTGCCTTCCACAGTTGGGCTCTCCCAGCCTCGGCCCTCATGCCCCTCAGGAACTCATCCCGATCACCCCTGAGGCAGGGACAGAAAATTCACGCTCATAAAATGAACCCCCCCACCCCACCTCCCCAGCCCTGGTGTCCTGGGGAGGTGCCCAGCTGAGAGGCCAGGCACTCACTCTGTTCCTGGGCAGCCTTAGCCTCCTGACCGGGAGGGCTTCTCCCCGAGGCAGGGCCCGCACAGAGCAGCCTGCCCTCTGTAGACGCAGAGGCAGGGCTGCCAGCCCCCGTCTGAGACCTCATGCCCCTCGGTGTGTTGCTCCTGGGGATGCAGCCCTTGGGGACATGGTCGTGGGGGAGGCTGCTGTGGTCCTGGACTGAAGGACTCGTCTCCGGACGCGGGGCCTGGGCACGCCCGTTGGCCAGGGTCCCACTCTGGGACGGCGGGCTCCCTTGGGGGCCACCAGAGCTCTGGAAGGCAGAAGGCTCTTGGGCCAGGGGGTCTGTGGGGCTGCAGGGCTGGCACTGCCTCTGGCCACTTGTCCCTACTCTCACGGCGGGTCTTCAGGGCCCCGGGGGGCGGGGGTGCAGTGGTGTGAGCACTGCAGTCTGAGGAGGCTGTCGGTCCTGCAGGTTTTCCAGCAGGTTGACTTCAACAGGAAGCCAGGACGGATGAGTTCCAAGCCCATCAACTTCGCCGTGATCCTGAAGCTGTCTAAGGTCAACCTGCAGGAGAAGGCTTACCGGGTGAGGCCGGCCTCCAGGGAGGGGCTAGGGAGGGAGTGCCCGGGTGGGGTCACCGCAGGATGTCAGAGGACACTGCAGTCAGCATCCTGAGTGACCATGGAGGCAAGAGGAGTGTGAACAGGAGGGGCTTGCTGCCCTGTGGAGTTTCTGCATGGACTCTTGTCGGCCCCCAGGGTCAGGGAGCAGACACCCGTGGGCCCCAGCCCCATGAGCCTGAGTGAAGCTGTGGGTCCCCACCTCCTTCTCCCTGGAGAGGGAGCTGGCATTCAGCCTGTGAGGGAGGTGCCTGAGCTCTCCTCCTTGCTCCTCAGGATGGGCTGGTGGAGCAGCTGTACGACCTCACCCTCGAGTACCTGCACAGCCAGGCCCATAGCATCGCCTTCCCGGAACTGGCGCTGCCGGCCATCCTGCAGGTGAGTGCCCGCTGCCCGGCTCCCCTGCCCTGCCCAGACCCCTCTGACCTCCTGTGAGGCTGACTAGACTGTGTTTAATCGCCTCAGCCCTGTTGACACAAGGGCAGGAGACGGCAGCCTGTCTCAGCCACAGAGCCAGTGGTGGGAGCCTGGGCCCTGAGTCTGTCCTGGGGGAGTTGGGCCTGAGTGGGCTGGTCTCCTGCCTGCATGCCTCCCCTGTGGTCCTGAGTGTGGTGTGGAGGTAGGGCTAGGGGATAGGGGGGTGGGGGGGTGACTCTCATGGGAGGCCTTCGTTTTCAGCTGAGATGCTCCTGTTTCAGGGAGGCCTGTGCCTCCTGGGAGCGGTGCTGTCTGTCTGCATGGCCCTGGGGTGGGGTTGCCTCCACCCAGTGCACTGGCTCAGAGCCCATTGGGACTTGGGTTCGGGTGGGCAAGGCTCTATTTCTGGGCTTGAAGCCCCAGAGATCAGCACATTCTTTTGGGTAAAGAGCCAGGTGGTATTTAGGCTTTGCAGTCCTGTGGTTTCCGCAACTGCTTGATTCTCCTTCGAAGTAAAAAACCCACAAGTGTGTAAATGAAGGGACCAGGCCCTGGTTCTCAGGAGGCTCTGCCCCCACAGGCACTTGCCCCAGGGCTCCACGCCTCCCCCCTCTACCCCTCTGGGCACATGTAGGGGGTGGGCCCTTGGCTGCATGCAGAGCAGCCCTGTGTGGAGCTGGCCGAGCCCCTCTTCCTTCTGCAGCTGAAGTCCTTCCTCCGAGAGTGCAAGGTAGCCAACTACTGCCGGCAGGTGCGCCAGCTGCTGGAGAAGGTGCAGGAGAACGCAGACCACATCTGCAGCCTCCGCCAGAGGGCCCCCTTCGGTGTGGCCAACCGGCAGGCCGTGGTCAGTGGGGAGGCACCGTGTGTGGCTGGGGCTTGGGGTTTTGCCCAGGATGGGACGTGACCCCAGCCTTTCCCCACAGGATGACTGGGAGAAGCAGGCCCGAGAGGAGGGGACTCCGCTCACCAAGTACTACAGCCAGTGGCGGAAACTGAGGGACCGGGAGATCCAGCTGGAAATCAGCGGCAAAGAGCGGGTACGGGCCGGGAGGCTGTCGGAGCCTGGGCACGCCCGGCCGGATTGTTCGGAGACGAGGACCTAGCACCCTGGCTATGACTTTAAGACAGGAAGGGGGTGGGGCTGCCCTGAAGGATGCGACTGTGACCTGGATGGCACTTAAAGGCCAGTGGGTGGCTGGGGCCTCCTCCTCCACCTGGCGGGTGGCTGTCCAGGAATCCTTCCCAGGGATGCTCACTAGGTGTTTGTGTGGGGAAAGAAAAACAGGACACTGGGTCTAGGAGAAGCCGTCTAGGAATGAGGGTTCTTGCTGGTGGCACCCAGGGCTCCCTGCACACCCCCACCTGCTGCTCTTGTTTTGGGCCTTCCAGCTGGAAGACCTGAACTTCCCCGAGATAAAGCGGCGGAAGCTGGGGGACAGAAAGGATGAGGACAGGGTGGAATTCAAGGACCTCTTTGACCTGGACAGTGATGACGACGATGCTGCAGACTTCTCAGAGAGAGGTGGGCCTGTGTGGCTCAGCTTGAACTCCCAGGGGTTGGGCAACAGGCCTGGTGGAGGGGTGCCTGCTCCCACCTCAGCTCCTGTTTGTGGGGGCCACTCTGCCCTTCCCCACCACTTTGCTTTCTTTGATTTGAGGTGGGCCTCCTGGAATTGGAACATGTGTCCCTAGGCCTTGTCCCTCTCCCCACTACTCTCCAGGGCAGTTCTGAATCTTTTCCACTTGCCCAAGGGGAGGGTTGGTGCAGGGCTGTGAGCCTAGCTACCCACCCCTTGTGCATCTGCTGTGGGCCCCTCCCATGGGCTCTTTGCCTTGGCCCCCAGTTACACCTAGGTCTCCGGGAGCTCAGCAGGGGGTAGAGGACGACGACCAGGATGACGACGACGAGGATGAAGACGAGGATGGCAGCAGTAGTGGCCAAGAAGGTAGCAACTCAGACGGTGAGTGGTTCCTGGGTCAGGGTGCTGTGCCCTTTGAGCTCGTGCCCAAGGCTCCTTCCTGGGGATGTAGGGCCAGCTGCTCTGTTCCTGCTAGCTCTGGCAGCCAGCAGTAGCGGCACCGATAAATTAATTAGTGCTGTGATTAATTAGTGATGAGTAACCCCCAGGCTGGCTTCTTTCTGATAAAGCAGAATTTATGTAGCCTCGGTGTCTCCCTGCAGATGGAGGCTCAGATGCAGAGTCAGGGCTGGCCCCCCGGGAGCTGTGGCGACTGCTTGCCCAGGGGCCGGAGGATGAACTGGAAGACCTACAACTCTCTGAGGAGGACTGAGGGCCACCATCCTGGTCTGCCTGCAGTGCCCCATCTCACCAGCAGTTCAGCCTTGGGCCTGAGGCCTTGGGGTCAGTGCCCATACCCCAGGAAGGACAGTAGATGGCGGACAGGGCTTTATTTTTACAACATAAAAGACCAGGAAGTACCAAGCACTGTGCTGATCACTGGAGTGGCAGCCTTGGTGACTGACACCTGCATTGTGGAGCCAGCCCACTGCTGCACCCAAGGGTGCTGGGCGCCCATGAGGGAAGCTGAGCTCTCACCTGATGTCAGGACGCTGAAATCTCACCGCAGTCCCAGTTCCCGAGGGAGCCAGGGGCCGGCCTGGCCAGCGAACCGCTTGTCTTTGGTTTGTCTGCAGCCCCCAGGTTGGATCCCAGGCCTGTGCGCCAGGCTCTGTGTCACCCCCAGAAGTCTTTGAAAACACATTCCTTTCCTCTTAAGTCACATGTTTTCTTTTTAAAAGTTCTTTGTGTTTTTGCTCCCAAAACCAGAGGAAAAGCAGCTGTGGGGAGGGGCCTTTGCATTGCAGTGGCTGGCACTGAAGGGTGGGCTCCACAACTCAGCACAGAGGCTGGGAGGGGTCTGAAGGCCCCGGGAGCAGAGCCATGGTCCCGTTCTCTTGCTTGGGGGAGGCTTGGCCGGCAGTGGGAAGTCCCCCCACAAAGGGTGAGGGGGCCGTGGCTGGGGACGGGGGCTGCTCCCCTGAGGTGAGTGCCCGCTCAGGGGCCCGCAGTGCTGGTGGCTGCAGTGGCAATGCCACCGGAAAGCTGGCCACGTAGAAGACTCGGCCCAGGCGCTTGGCCACCTGTGGAGAGAGCCTGGGTTGGGGGTCTGCAACCTCGGCACTGTCCCTCCAGGACGGGGGACCACCGCCCACTGGCACGCACCTGCGCCCGGATCTTGAGAGCAGGCCCCAGCTTTAGCCCCATGGTGGTCAGGAGGTGCTCCTCCGTCAGCAGGGGCAGGGTCTCCCCATCTATCCCCTGTTCTCTGAAGACCTGGTGGGGTGGGTGCCTGTCAGGGCCTGAGTGGGAGCTGCTTGCTCACCCTTCAGGGTCCCTCAGCCAGGCCAAGGCTGCCAGGTCGGGGTGGGGGGGGTGGAGGGCTCAAGGCTTTGGAAAACGGAGCCAAGAGGAGCTGTTTGTGCAGTTTGTAGGGAAAATATTCATGTGAAAGAAAACTTGGACATATGTCCGTGTGGAGGGCACAGCACTGCAGGTTGGGACGGGAGCATGCGCCGTGCCCCCCACACCCTTTGAGGAGAATGGGGGTGAGGAGAGGCACTGGGGACAGGAGCTCAGGACCATCTTGGGCAGGTGCCCCCTCACCCGTGTGTATTCTCCACAGCCCGACAGGCCCCCCACGAAGCTGCAGACATCGTCCACTGTCCACTTGCTGATGTCCTCAGGGGTGGTGGCCGCCTCCCCATCACTGAAGAGTCCCCCGATAGCGCCTGGTTGGGAGGGGGTGTTACTAGGACTGTGGCTGCCTCTTTCCCAGGTTCCCACCCATCTGCTGGCCTCTGCCCTTGTCCAGATCCATGACTAAAAGGGCCTTTTCTCCCCTTGGACTTCCTAAGGAGACGTGGGGGGATGGGTCTCCTCCCCCCCACCCTCTGTTGAGGGGTCTAGAGCAGGGAGTGCCCACCTGTGTGGAAGTAGGGGCTGACGCAGGGCACGCTCAAGGGCAGGGAGGGGGGCAGCAGGGATCCTGAGAGAAGTCCCTTCCGCTCAGAGCTGGCCCCTCCACCTGGGGTGAGGCCCCGGCCCCCAACAGCCAGCATCTCGGGGTCCTCTCCGTCTGAGTCCTTGGGGGGCTCATCCTCAGAGCCATCCTGTACCCAGAGCTCAGCCCCGGTGGTCTTGGGCTCACTGGGCCGGGCTGAGGCCGGGCTGACGCTCCCCTTCCGAGGGGTTCGGCGGGTGGGCTCCCGCGGCGGGGTGGGGGAGCCGGGGGGTCCCTGTGGGGGCAGCGCCAGCCTGGGCGCGGAGCTGGGTCTCAGCACCAGCAGGGCCTCCGCGCCGTCCGGCGGGGGCAGCGCAGCTTCTGGCGTCAGCAGCTGCGGACGGTGCGCGCCCTCCAGCTCCTTCTGCCGCAGCAGCTCGGCCGACATCTCCAACCTGGGTCAGGGGGTGCGGGGGCCGGGGTCAGGGGTCAGGATCCAGCGAGACGGAGCCACCTTCTGCCCTGCCGGCCCCGCCACCTACCGCGCCAGGTTCTGCTTCCGCAGGAGCTCCTGCTGCCGGGCGAGCAGCTCCGCCTGGGCCGGGGGCAAGAAGCCGAAGCCTGGGGAAGGGGACAGTCCACGAAGCGAGTGGTCCAGTGCCCCCCAACCGCCCGCCCCCGCCCCCGCCTGCCCCAGGGGTGGGCTGGGTCCTAGGGGAACAGTCGCGGACGCTGGTGGGG